ACCCGCTACAAAGAAAATTGGTGGAAAACGCCAATCACCAAAAAGTTTTTTTCCTGGAATTGAATTTGATATGACGTAAGCTATAAATCGAAAATCCGGCAATTTAGCACGAATTTTCTTAAACATAGCATAGAAAAAAACTTCGTAAAAAACCAGAAATAATCTAATGAGAATTTGCATCATTGAGTTTTTAATGGTTTAATTTTACACCAATCCTAATACTAAAATAAACCAACCAAATGCTCTTCTTCAGTTAGAAAATGAATATATCTAGCGGCATCTGCGCTCATCTAATGTCGTTGTAGTAATACGAGATTTTTCCCTTTTTAAATGAATTTCTTTCTCATTTTCAAAATCAACGAATTAAGCGTCGGAGGGAAATTTAACGTGCTACTTATTTCTTTAAAAACAAAATAATTATTTTGAATATCTTAGATGGATTCATCAATGGAACGATCACAATCACCACTTTTTATTTTTGGACCAAATCATATTGATACAAGTCGAGCTGAAATGCTGGTACAATGTTTAAGTAATCAAACCATCAACTGTTTTATAACATTTGAGTAATTACTACTGTCTTTTAAAGGTAATAAAATTAAAGAAAAACGATTTAAACTTCAAAAAATTATTGGAATTAATGAAGGTGATTGATTAATGACGTTGATTTTGTATTAGATCTATAAAGTTTTTTTCTTGTTAAAATAGAAAAGAAAAAACGTAATGAATTAATGGAAAATGAAAAGATACAATTAACAACAAAATTGGCAAATATTGAACATGACAATTCTATTCGTGAACAACAACTTCAATCTGAACAACTTCGAATTAAAGAACTTCAATTTAATATTCAAATGCTTGATGATCATAATAGTATGAAAAAATAAAACATTATTCAATTTTCTTCTTTTGAAAAAAAAAATAATATTTCTTTTTTTTTAAATGTTAGATTCAATCAAACGTGATTGTACAAATGAAGAACGAAAATATGAACAAGAAAAATCATCACTTATTAATAAATTTGAACGTATCAAACAACAATGGACTGAAATTTTCAAACCACAGTTCGTATTTCGATGCATTTTATTCTATTAACCCCCACAGAATAGAAACTCAGTCTCAAGCTCATAATCTTCCAAATGTAATAGAAGTCGGAACTATACGAATCAGTGCAAAACAGAAATATAAATCATCGAATAGATCAGTTCATCGCTTTTCGCTGGTTAGTTGTAACTTCTTTGATATACCTAATTTTATTTGTTCTATATGTTTTTCTAGTAACGAATAAACCAGTTTGTTTTGTGAGTGGAAAAATGTGTACATGGGGACATGAATGAGAGACAACTGTTCAGGAACTGGGGAATAGAAAATTGGCATGCTTTAATACCATTTTGTTCGGCTTCTTCCTGTTAGTGGTTAAACAAAGTCTAGCAAGGAAACGATATAAATTTTTATGAAAGTAATAGAAATATAGACAAACCTTTTACTCAAAAAAATAAGACATCTAACAAAACTGAACAATAGTCAGTTGATATTATGCGAAAAATTTTCGGACTCAAAAAGCGAATGGCAGTATAAGATGAGTACGATATACATTATTGAAACACTCATAAGATCTGAACTACTCTATTTCATAAAAAAAATGAGAAGCTCTCATTTGGTAGTAAACGGTTTACTTTATACTTCAAAATAATTGGAATATATCTCCTTGAGTTTCTGAACTGTAAATAAGCTTCTAAGATGACGTTATCTGACAGAGCCGTATCAGTACATGTCTCATAAGAAGTTTTTTCTTTCAACTCCTGCAAAGTTCGATAGTTTCTTAAACCAAATTATCACAATAAGAGCGATTTAATGTATCTATATTAAGATCCACAAAGTGTTGGTTACAGGTGAATGTATGAATGAGAAAAGTAGTGTAATAAACACATTACTCAGGTTATCTGATAACATGGAACTGAAGAAGTAAAGCAATGAATTATTAGTTCAATAAAAACTATCATAGGTCGTATCAAGGTTCTTAGACAATTTGAAGATTTCAATCTATTGAATCTTGTACACTTTAGTGCTTGTGAACGAATCAAATCATAGCTACAATACAAAAAAAGTTGGTCGCAATAAAAATTTACCTCGAAACTTTTGACTTGTAGAACAAATTAGAATCTCAATGAGCTACTATTCTATGGGAGTGAACAGGGAGAGAGAAAATTATTTTATGTTCATTTGAAATATATTTCAGATATGAACAATCAAAAGTTTATCAATATTTAAAACAAGGTGATTTAGCTTATAATATACTTGTTGAACGTCGAGATACATTACTTAATAAACAAAAATTAGCATATAAAGATTATTTAACACGTCGTCAAGAATTTTGTAATGAAAAAAACTTTCAATCATCAATTTTATCTATTGCTAAATATTTTATTTCTCGACGTGATCAATTAATGAAAATCAAACAAATGAAAGAAAAATTAATTGAACTTGAAAATAAACAAAAGCAATTAATGGAAAGTAAAATTGATAAAATGAAAGCATGGGAAAATGTTTATACACAACCCATAAAACGTGATTTATTGGATTTTTGTTTACAAACTAATATTGAACAAGCTTTAACACTTTCATTTAATCAAATACAATACGATAGTTGGTCACAACCAGCAACACCAATAGCACCACCATCAGTTTTAACACCACAAAATGAACAAATTGAATTAGTATCAGAAGAACAAACTAATAATAAACCATCTGCTACGTAAGTCGATTATTTCTTAGAAATATGTTTTTCTTTTATCTTATTCAATCGATTAATAAACAATGTTTAACTTAAGCTATCTTGATTTGTGAGTTTCTCTTTCTATCGTATAACACGTATATTATTAATTTTCATGTTTATTAAATTGATGTTTGAAAAATCTTCACAATATGTTTAATCTCATCTTGAAGTTATACGAAAAAAAAAAAATTTGAATATCGATTATTTGAATTTTTTTAACTCAAAGAATAATTTGTTCATATTTTTATTCTTAGATTTCAATCATCAACATCGATTATTCATGATGAAACTGTACATCAAGTCATTACACCATCATCAACTCAATTAATTGCTTCTACAATAGAAATTGTTCCAAACATGATGAAAGATGTACCTATGGAGTCAAATCGTTCATCGGTGCTTCATCTTACAACAGCTATTGATGATGATGATGAAGAATTATTCCCAAAATCTCATCGAAAAATACCAATAGCTCAAGTAAGAATTTTAAAATAAAATTTATTTTATTTTCAAATAAGAGAAATAGTTGGAACAAATGACTATCAATGACTTTCCACCAAGTACACAAGCATTTATGGTATCAACAAATACAATAAATTCGTATATAGATGTCGATCAAGAAGTGTCATCTATATCTCAAAATGATCAATCACTTACACAAGTATTTACTATTGTTTCAACACCAACTCCACTTGAATCGAGTTCTGTACGTGATATTGTTACACCAACAATAAATATTCAAGTTCCTGAATCGATATCAATGCCATCTACTAATACTACTGTCAATAAATTACATTCAACTGTAGCATTCCAACTTCCATCTTCACGAATTCAAAATCAACCAATACCATCAGCTACATCATGTATTCAACCTCAAGTGACCAGTAATGACGTACAACAAATGTTATTAACATTTTCACCGGATCCATCATCAATGAATGAAGAACAATCACCACAACCAATGGAAGATGATTCCGAACAATCACAACAACAACAGCAACAACGACCTACATTTTCAATGATTTCATCTATTGAATCGACTACAAGTACTGAAGAGTAAGATCATTAGTTTTTATTTACATATCAATGCATTATTAAATAAATGATGAATTTAATCTTTTTAGTGGATATACTGGTTTTAACTATAATTTTGGTTTTAATGGTAGTGCAACTGGTGATGCCACTGTTGGTGGTGGAGGTTTTACATCACCGATTAATTTTGGTAATTGGACTAATAATCTTGGTTCACCAATAAGAACAGATTCTAATGAACAATTTCCTGCATTTTTGCAACAAACAAGTAATGGTGATAATGGTGTGGATACTTCGTTTTCATTTGCTTCATTTAGTTTTGGTGGTATGTTTCTTATTTTTCTTTTAATTTAATTAAAATTTTTCTATTTTCATCAATATTCAATATAGGTGGTAATGAAACATCTACTAATGGAGCATTTGGTTCATTCTTTTTTGGCAATAGTGGAAGTTCAATGAATACAGAAGACGTTCATGATAGAGAAAAAAATTAAAATTTGAATTTTATTATATTTTTTTTTCTTTTTGTTTTTTTTTATCTTGTAAATAGATAGATGAATTTGCCAATTTTATTATTGCAAAGAATATTTTATTGTGAATTATACTATTTATTTTATTTTCTAGTACAGAGCAAAAAATAAAATTAGAACATAGTGACAATGATATCATTTTCTTTTCTTTTGGCTTTATTTATTACGGAAAAAAAAAGATTTTCATCTATTGTGTTGATGTCAAACTTCGTCATATTTTTCAATGATCAACAGAAAAATTTTGCACAATACAATTATTAAAGGATTGATGAAAGATTCTATTGATAAAAAAATGAAACAAATACCATCCGTTAACGTGAGAAGAAAATAAATCAATAATTTTTGGCAGTTGGATGTTTTTTTTGGATGATCGAACTACTTATGTGTTTGTTGAGTTCGACAAGATATTAAATTTCTGAACTTTCCATATAACATGTGTAGAATATTTTGCTGTTGCATAAATAAGTTAGATTAACTTTTACTTTATTTAAAATAAATTATTTTCCTAACAACTTGCGTCATCTCACATATCTTTTGAAAAAGGATCGACTAACAAATATGTTAACAAATAGAATTTAAATTCTTTGTTCGATTGTTTTCTTCAGCCCATTCTTTATCAGTTATTTCATTCATTTATATTCACACAAAGTTAAACAACTATTATGTCGAAACAAGTTTTTGAACAAGCAAACGAAGCTTTTGTTGATGAGAAATATGAAGAAGCACATGAAGTTTGTTCTTAAAAAAAATTTTTCTCTTTTCCTTCATAGTAAAAATTTATCATCTAGTTTTATACAAAAGCTCTTGTGAACGATGATAAAACTGATCATCGATTTACTTCTAAAATCTTGGCATCACGTGCTCAATGTTCATTAAAATTAAAAAACTATGCAGGTTAGTACGAGTTTGTTTTTTTTTCAAGCGAATACCACTATATTGTTATTACTTTTTCTTCTAGATGCATTGAAGGACAGTAATGATGCTATTCAATTGGATGAAACAAATATCAAAGCATATATTCGCAAAGGTGTTTCATTATATAATCAAGATTTAAAAGAAGAAGCTTTGGAAGTATTTGTTCGTGGACTTGAATTTGATTGTAAGTTGATTATATTCATCTCGTTTACTAAAAAAATTTATATTCTATTTATTTTTCCAGCTGCTAATGAACAGTTAAAAATATGGCAGCATATATGTGAAAAAGAATTAACAGGTATACAATTTTCTTGATTAATTAATTTATAGTTTTAGTTTAACGTAGAAAAAAAATCTGTTCCTATAGCTAAGTCTATTGAAAAAGAAAAGTTAGCTACGAATATTACACCTGTTCATCCATTACCACCGGCGAAAATTAAGTATGCTTCATAGGTTTTTCTTTTTTTTTTTGTTCATAATTATGAGTTGTTGTTTTTAGACATTCATTCTATCAAACAGATAGTGTTGTTACTATTCAAATTCCTATTAAAGGTCTTAAAAAAGATCAAGTTCAAGTCCACTCAACAGATACAACTGTTTGTATAGCTTTATTAAATTTCAAGTTGATAAAATTAAGTGTCAATAATATTTTTGTTTAGATTAAAATCAATACGAAAATACCTTCTTCTGGTCATGATTATTCACTTGCACTTGATCTTGCTTATCCAATTGATTCGTCACGTACAAATTTCAATGTTACTAGTTCAAATGTAAGATAGATATTATGTTATTTTTTCATTTCTATATGACATTCTTCCGTCTCGATGATAGATTGAAATAAAATTATATAAACGACAAGCTATACAGTGGACGTCATTGGATGCTCAATCAACAGCAACTAAAGCTCTACCACCAGGTACAATATTGTTAACTGTTTTATGTTTATCTATATATGATATTTCTAGTTCCAATGAGTCGACCTTTAGTTGAAAAAGCTCCAACTTATCCATCATCAAGTCAACGTGCAAAAAATTGGGATAAATTGGAAGCTGAAATAAAAAAGGATGAAAAAGAAAATAAGGATGATATGGGTGATAGTAATGCGTAAGTTATTGTTTTCTTTTGGTTTTGTGTTATTTTTTTTTTTTTTATAAAACCCATATTTTTCTAGTATCTTTCAAAGATTGTATCGAGATAGTGATGAAAATACACGTCGTGCAATGAACAAATCGATGGCAAGTGTATTCTCATCTTTTTTTCTTTAACTGTGAAATAGTAGAAATATTTATTTTTAGTATGAATCTGGTGGTACATGTTTAAATATGAATTGGGAAGAAGTATCCAAAGGTCGAGTAACTTGTGAACCACCTGATGTCAGTTCATTTTGATTTTCTTTGTTTTAATAATCTCGAGTTTCTTTTATTCATTTAGGGAATGGAATGGAAGAAATATGATTCGTAAATAAAATTCATAAAACATAATCAAGAGACTAAATTTATTTATGTATCAACAGATTCATTTTTTTTTTCATCTTTGTTCATATTATTATTCAACAAGATATTGAAAGAATTTCTTTTTATTTCGTATCTATCTTCTTTATGGTTAAATTATCTCATTCTGTAGGTTTTTTTTCATGTAAATGCACAAGTATCTATTTTTTTGTTGTAACAAAGTTAACAAAATAAACAAGAGCTATAGTCTACTAATTTATTTAATCAATCTTATCTTTATCTATTTGCATAATTCTCTTGATTTGATATTTAGAATGAGATAAATTTCTCAATGGTACTCAAAGTGGTCATACTATTTCTTTTTCTTATTCTTCAACTAAGATTTATTTGAATAGTAATGAATAATTCTTCGATCGAATACATATAACAGTTATGCTACGTGTGGCTTTTCGGAGAAATCTAATACAAAAATGCAAATAAACTTAGCTAATTATTATTTTTATAGCATCTCAGAAGATCTGTCTGCTTTTTTTTTCATTAAGAGCTTATCTATGAGACTGTCTTTTTTTTTACAAGTCGAACAAGTTCATATCCTTTGTCTTCCGGTGGAGAATGAGTTTCAAAGCAAAATACAAAGGTGGTTACTTGTTATATTATATAATATTCGATTCAATGAGGTGCATAATCATATAGTTATATTAGAATGAATGAATATAGTTAGTAGGAAATTTACTACTTTTCTTTAGAAATCAACTTAGGCATCGGTAGAACAAAGCAATACTATTTATGTGTAGTCGATGTCTTAGGGAGAAGATATAGCTACACTATATTTAAGGAAGAACAACAAGACTGATATTTATTAAGTATATTGGTAAGTATGAAAATTAGAGACCTATGTTCTATAATGATAGAGATAAGTTGAATTTTGAAAAACATTATGGTTCCTATGTTTCATTTTATCGCTGAGGTATTGGTTTTTTGAACATTTTCCTATCTTATAAAGAGGGAAATCATTTTTTATTTTCATTCGTTGCTTGTCTAGATAATCAAAACAACAGAGATCAAGCAAGTGTCGTGGAAAAATGATTATGAAAAATTTAGACTACTCGTAGTGTACAAATTGTTTTAATCAAACTTATCTAATGAGAAGTCATCTTCGCGAAGTAACTGCATGAATATGTTTGATAGATTACATACTTTAAGTTACTTCAACATCAGACGATAACCAGGCTCGAACATGGCATTTCGAAGTATGTCATAGACATCATGACTCATAAACCATATTATTACTAGTTCTGTGACATAGAATGTGATTTCAACTCTAGAAAACTAAAAAAAATTAATTTCTAGGATCGAGTTTAAAATAAAAATATGTGGATGGAATTGACTTCAATAACTAGTGTTGCATAATGTAAATTCTGACTAAAAAAGAATTTGCCAGGGATGGGGATCGAACCCATGCTCACTATTGTGAATTGGATCTTAAGTCCAACGCCTTAACCACTCGGCCACCCTGGCACGAGATAGAGTCAACTAAATCGACCTTGTGAATTGTTTTAGGAAACATTTTGATGTTATTTTGTATTCGATAAAGATCAATCTATTTCAAATTTTATTCCATTCTTTTAACCCTTTAATGGACGAATTTTGGTTGGTGAAGTTCTGTCGATACTGATGATGCAGTCAAATAGACCGTAATCTACATTATCATACACGAGAGCCAGATCGACAATACTGAAGTACTGTATGTGTGATGCCAGTATTGTTGGTCTGTTGCATCCGTTTTACTTAAAATACATTGCACCATCATGTGCTTGTTTTGTATCAAACGGGTGGCGCAACAACCATGTGCTATACAACGTAAATAACGAGCTCACTGTTACAGAAAGGACAATGCAAATATAACTTATATTTGAAACAAAGCACATGTTCAACCTTTCGATTTGCTAACGTCTATCGAGTCTCTTTTCGGAGAGAGAATTAGTGATAACCTTCTTCAAAACTCTCTGTTGAAGAAACAGATAAACATTGCTACTTGAACTGAAGTAACTAGAAATTAATTCCGTCTATGTAGTACCATCCTTCTTTCTACAAGAATCACTGATCCTAGTTTATTATAGTTTTGCAATCGAAAACAAAAAAATGGTACAAATATGTATCACCGTCCATCACAGAGTTAAATAAATGCGATTTAATTGTTTAGAAAAAACAGAAAAAGAAATTTTTAAAATGTATTTTTATTGTTCATTTAATTAATTTTAACAGAAGATAAACAAACGAAATAGAATTATATAATAAACAATGAGTCATATGATCCGTCCATTTTGATCGTTTATTGATTTGACCCCTATCGATGTTTATTATTTTCTATCTCAGTTGTTTTTCTTTTCGTTCGTTAATATACAATTCATATCATGTCAATATCGAAATTGTACTTCGTTCTATTCTATCAAAGAATTCTTTGTGCTTTTGGTTGGGGACCAATCGGACATAGTCTTGTTGCACGCCTTGCTCAAAGTCAATTAGAGTCATCTACTAATAGATGGATTTATAATTATATACCAACGAATTTATCAGGTAATTTAAGTGCAATTTCATCATGGCCTGATATAATACTTTATCCAGATACAAATCCATTTGATTATCATAAGTGGCAATGGTCTCGTCAATTACATTTTGTAAATATACCTGATTGGAATTGTAAATATATTTCAACAAGAGATTGTTTAAATAATAGATGTATTGAAGGTGCATTAAAGAATTATTCACAAAGATTAATTGATAATAATTGTGATTATGTTCAACAACAACAAGCTCTTTTTTTTCTTGTTCATTTTCTTGGTGATGTTCATCAACCATTACATTGCGGTTTTAAAGGAGATTTTGGTGGAAATAATGTCAAAGGTAAGTTTATGTTAGGTTTTTGTTAAATTTAGTTTTAAAATTATCTTCTAGGTTTTTTTTTCAATGGAACAAATCTAACAAATCTTCATACAATATGGGATGTTGATATAATTAATATTCGTATTAATCGTCATTTTCAATCGGATGTTAATCTTTATTATGAATATTTGAAATCACTTATGTTTAATCAATCTTTATTAATTAATGAAACATATAATGATTATAAAACATGGATTGATGAAAGTGTTAGTTATGTTTGTCAACAAGTTTATTTCGACGATAATAATATTAAACTTAATGTTTCATTAAATTTTAAATTAGGTGAAAAATATTTCAATCGAAATTGGCCTCTTATTGATCAACGTTTAGCACAAGCAGGTCATCGACTTGCATCATTACTTAATCAATTAGCTAAAAATCAGTCATCAAGAAAACTTCCACCAGACACTCAAGCTCTTATTATTGTTTTATGTGTTGAATTAGCGATTGGTATTTTTGCTGCTCTAAGTGTTTATTTATATAAACGACGAAAAAATACGAAACATGATGTTTTGATGTCTGAATGATCATTGTATACTTTGTTTATTAAATAAAATAGAATTAATAGAACTTAAATGCCACTTTTTTTTTCTTTTTTTTACATAGAAGCATATATATGTAGAGAGAGATGACGAGATACCCATGGAAGCCGCCCCGCCTCCTCGAACATCGATTTTTGCGGTAAACAAGAGAAAATAGTATATGATTTCGTTTGAATTGAAATATTTTCATAAGAAACCAAATAAATAAATAAATTTATTTTTCCAAACGAACATAGAAAATGAAAAGTTTTTATCATTTATTAAGCTATTGATAAAAAAAATTTAACAAATTAGAGAAAAAGAACATAACAATTCATGAAGTGCGAATACGGAACGGATGAGCTGCAGTCAGGAGCGGCGCGAGCGGGAGGAGTACTCCCCTCCCCCCAGCTTTTGAAAAATCGAGGACAACCTCCTCTCATTTCTGAGAAATTTCGAATGAACTTTTCTCCGTTTTTCGAAAAAAATATCTTCAGTCTTCTCTGATTTTGAAGAACATCTATCATTAAACTTCCTCCGATTTCGGAGAAACCTATTAGATAGCATTCTCTTATTTCTGAGAAATATATGGAACAGATTTCTCCAATCTTGGAGAACATCAATGAATCTATTTTCGTCGGTTTTGGAGAAACCTGAAAGCAATTTCCTCTGAGTTCAGAGTAGCCAATAAGATGATTTTCATTAAGTTTGGAGAAACTTATTAGGCAAATTTTCTCCTATTTTCGAGATTTTTTAAATTAAAATAACAAAATTAAGCTCCAAAAACAGGAGAACCACTCGCTATCTTAAATTATGATAGTTTTCTTTAACATTTTCGAAAAGTGTTCTAGTAATGAACTAAGATTCAATAAAATGAAAATTGTGAAGAATAGATTACAAAGAGGATGATCCACTCCACATATCAAAAAGTGGAAAGGCTGACAATCAGAATCATGCGAAGCGGGTATCTCGATACGGATCGTTAGATGAAATTATTATAGAAGCACGAAAAAAACGAAGAAATACTGTACCGACGAAATAAACACCTATATAGAAATTCTAGTCAAAAATCAATACGATCTGACTGATGAATAAAAGTTTCTTGTCTATCAACATTACTGAAATTATCGATCAAGATGTTGAGATTAAGTCATCATATTTCCAGATTCTAAAATGTAATTCAAACAAAAACAATAAAATTATTGTTTTCAAAAGAGAAATTGATGGGTTTTTTTTCATAGTACAATTGCAATGTTTCTTGACAGCAACCTAATCTTAAAATAATAGTTCAGTATCAGTTTAGCACATTAAGAAAAATGAATCAGTTTATTCGTTTCGATATACATTTGCCTCAATCTTTGCCTATTTTGAAATGTATCATAAATCAACTTTGACACCAGCTTACAATACAAGAATATTAATGATATAACAAGTGAACTGATAAAATACTCAAGAAATATGAAATACATGAGTGAGCTGTTTTTTCACTTGCAATCATAGACTTTAGTACGTATTTAACTCAATCGAACAATGCCAATAACATAAAAAACATTTTTCACTAAAATTTATTTAGATTCTAGATGAAATCAAGGTATTAAACGTAAAGAAACTAATACTGATTATTAATATGAACGACTGCATTGATATCTTATATTGAACGGCGTATCGATGACTGGAATGTTGATTTATTGATAAATTATATTGCATTCTCTCTCCTACATTAGTCGATCACTCCATCAATTCTTCTTTTTCTCTTTTCGTTTCTAATAAACGTTGTTTTTTAATAACTTTTTTCTTCGTTTTTTATGAAAAAAAAACCACTCTTTGGTGTGAATTTCGTAAAAAAAAAGAGATAGAAAAAAGATTTTAAAATAATATGTTCGAAACAAAGGAAGTAAAAATAACCGAGGAAGAAATATAGAGACAGATTGTGTAAGTTCATCAAAAAATACATTCAAATCAAATGTTTGATGGCAACTTTAATACATCTGAAAAACACTTCAATATGATATTAACCACTTAGATATCAACTTTTTTTTGCTCGAAATGATTCATTTTGATCTTCACGATCCATGTTTGGCCTCTAATAAGAGTCTAGGAAAAAAAGATGTTTGTAATTCGAAAAGGTATGTTTTTTAGTTGAATAAGTCTTGGTTATTATCAGAATATAAATAAACTGTCATTTCCGTATGATTTAGAAATAGAAAATCATTATTTCATGTTTATTTCTTGAAGTTCTGTTAACAAAGGAATACTATCTTCAGACTTCATTAGCTCTCATTCATTTGAGAACAAATCAATAGTATAAAGTTATGCTTTTCTTATCTTTATCTTCAATGCAAAATTATATTACTCCATCTAATTTTGTTAATAATTGCTATTGAATTAATGTATCGTTTCATTTTTTTTTCTCATTGTATACACTTCACAGCAATTGATAAGACTCGCTGTTTCATGTAAGTGAAGAAAGTCAACGTAAACCTAATCAATTATATATGATTGCAACTATATACCACTCACAGAAAATGTATGTGAACATTTTCGACACAATTACTAATGGAACTATTTCTAGTCCAACAACAACCAACCAAGAATAGATTTAAACTACGGCTATTGTCATTTACTTGGATCATATATGTAAATATGAAACTCTTTAGTATAGATTAAAGACTATTGTTCACTTCAAATACAAGTAAGTAAATTCATGCCTAGTAATAGTTAATATTAATTGATTCCGTTGTTTGAAGAGTAAGAGAAAGAAAATAAACATGTTTTTTTTTTCTTTTGACATTAAATAAATATTAACGATGAATCTTAGAAGAAGAAGAAGTATTTGGACCTTCTCTTGTCAAGAGTATATCACGTCAACGACAACATATGATCTTGACTATTGATGTTGTTTACTGATTATTGATTTTCAATTGAAACTGAAAAGAAATAAAAAGAAAAGAAAAGAAAATTGGTTCCACTTCTTTTCATATCAATTAACATTGAGAACAAAAGAAACAAATACGTAGCTTATAATGCGGCATCAATGCCAGAAAGTTGTTTAATAACATTGATTAAAAAAAAAACAACATTTTAAGTATAACCAAACAAAAGAAATTCTAAGATTATAATGTCTTACATTTGAGAGAAAATCCATTAATCAAATTAGACATAGAGTGAAAAGTATTACTTCAATGTGTACAAAAAGAAATTGTGTAAGATGTTTTCGATTTAATTTTTCTTTTCATTTTTTCTTTAGTTTTTGATAAGAACATGGAAACATTTTCATGATAACTATTTACAATAAGTATTATAATCTTCGGCTAATTTTCAGCAAAACATTATTTTATACAATCAACTGTCATTGATTGTTACTTTTGATATCAAAAGTTTTCATTTACACAGTACAATTATAATTATGTTGGTTAAGTATCTTTTTCTGTAATCTTGGGTTAAAAAATACGATAATTACATTCTTCTCATCATCATCAATGAGTTCAATACTACGTTATGATATGTAGATGCTCTTTATCTTAGTTATATTTGTTACTTAAATGCTTATAATCAATTTATTATTATCAATAAAATATTTTGAATAATATAATTGATTATCCATTGATATATATTATTTCTGTCTTCATAACTGTTTAGATAAATACAGTATTAACTATATGCTATAAGATTTTTCTATCGATTCGATAACATTTGTTATAAACTAAGCATAAAGAATGTTGTTTATTGATTAAAATATCTTGTTTTCCTACAAGAATTTGTTAATATAAAACAGCTAATTTCTTGAATTGGTTATCTTTAAAAAAAAGCGATTGTACTTTGTTCGTTCTTGAATAGTTTCCTTTAGAGTTACTACTTCCTGTGATATATATATATATATATATATATATACTATTGATTATGAAAAGATCAGTTCTATATAATATGACTAAAAAATCTTAACATATGTTGAAAAGAAGCATGATGCAATAGATTATTCTATTAGTACCGTGCAAATCATTGAATTGTTTAACAGTAATTTTCAAAAGCTTATTCTTTTTCAATGGCTTTAATCAATCTCATAATTGTCATACTAATCTGCACCCTTAAACTATGTAGATGCGTTTATTATGCAAAATAATTCATGTTTTTTTCTTCTATACAAAAAAAAAATAATTATCTGAAATAAATTCTAATGCATTATAACAAATGTCATTAAAAGTAATAGTTTGTACTGTTTTCTTACAGTACATTTCTCGGTTATAGGATAAAACAAAGTTATCGAAACCACTGCTGATTTGTAAATTAGAAGCGAAGAGGTTCTTATAAGAAAAAAAAACAACTAATGCCTTGCAGTCATGATTAAAAATGTTGATTTTAGTTATTTCCACTTACAAAACCATTTTTCGACAACAAAATCTAAAAAATTCACATGATCGTATATATGGAGAGTCTTTATAAGTTTATTATCTTATACCATTTTTAAAGTGTACAGCTGTCGCATGAGTCGTCAATGACATGTAGAAGAAGACACGACAAATGCCCAGTTGCTGATCGAACATAGTTTTATATTAAATTAGCTAGAATACTAGATAAGTCGTTTTACACACGGATTTTGTTTTCAAAATACTTTTTGAAGAAGGCGCTATTTAACATTTAACTTTTTATTCTCGTATTCAATGAAATGATAATCTTGAGTTTGATTAAAAAAAAAAAAACAAGACTTATAGAAACGTGACTTATTATTTTTTGTAAACAAAAATTCTATCATACCCGTAGGAAAACAATGCATTGAAAAACAAATAATTACTAATAGCACATCTATCTTGACATTCGAATTATTCTGTATTGTCTATATTTTTTATATGTTTATTCTTCAATCACAACCTTTTACTTCTTTCTTTCTGACATATGTTGATTAATAACATAGGCTCTTTTTTTGTGTTGTTGTTTGTATCCATGATTAAAACGTTTGAAAAAATCAATTATTTGAAAAGGCTAAAGTATGAGCATATGTCCCACTAAATTCCATAGAAGATGATTGACAAAATGTTAGTATAATATATATATATTATAGAATCGAATATCAATTGAAAACTAAAACTATTTGCATATATATTTAAGCATGATTGTATTTTGTTGAAATATCACATCTTGATCTATTTCAGAATAATACATATATTTTGTTTGTATATCATTATAGATCCTATTTCCTTTTAAATATAAAAAAAACAATGTATGTTATTCTCAATGGAAGCATTCAAATGTTTGAATATTTTTTTGTTCACATCTTTTATATTAACAAACATTCTTGTCTTTTTTTTAAAGTTTATTGATATAGAAATGAAAAGGTGTGATTCAATTAGAAATCGATTAACAGTATGTGTTATGTTTAGATATATATATATATACCTAACGGCGGGAAAAATCAACAATCACATGTACGTCAAATATAGACATTTGCTGCTTGTTTGACAACTGTTCGTTTTTCTTTCTCCATTCTCATCATCATCGTCTCGGTGTGAATCCTTCATATGGAGCTATCTTTCTGTCATTTAAAAATGTATGTTGATATACGTATTCTTTTCTTTTTTTCTCTCTTATCTATTTTATTCGTTTGCTTATTATTGTCGAGAGTCTAATGCAGGTGCACTACGCCATAGGCGATTTACATGTCTATGTCGCTGCACGACTTTTATATAAACAAAGAACAAGAAACCGGTAACACCTGATGAGAGAATACATGAAATTGGTCTTCAATATAGCATCAAATCTCTGTTTATGTGAGATAAAAAAAAAAAGAGAAAAAAAGAGAAATGTTCACAGCATCCCAATCAAAAAATCAACCATTAGAGGAAAAGAGAGAGAGAGATAGAAAAGAAGAAGAAGAAGAAAAAAAAAAGAAAGAACGAGGGAAGGAAAAAAAAGAAGACAGCAGACGGAAGCTTTATGTTTACATATCTCTCTTGCCTTCAGTGCACGATATACCACTATCATTGACGATCAAGCAACAATACCCGATCAGTTCACTTGCGACATTGTTAGGAAATTGAGTAAGTATTAGTTTTTTATGTGTATACTATAATTTATTGTGTTACATAGTATTTTATTATTGCTGAAAATTCTAATAAAAGTAATTGACTGTTATAATTCGCATATGACTGTTTGTATAGTATGAAAAGCTACTGTTTTTTTTCTTTTTGTTTGACTTTATATATAGATACTTAAATATATAACTAAACAAGTATGATATATCTAATTCTAATGTACAGCTGTTCAAATCACTCTAGACTAAAGCTTATCTTCTTGCATCTTTTTACACGTAGACGCCGACATACGAATATGTCATGCATACGTTAAACAGTTTATAACTCTTTTGCTCGTTTTGCGTCAACAGCTGGCAATAGCAGCAGCAGCAGCAATTCGATTTTGCCATCTATCAGTCTCTTCGTTTTTTTTTTTTTGCCTTGCTCATACTGGGAATATACACTCGTGCAACTTCTGTTCTAATTCCCCAAAGAGAACCAAATGGTCCCTTCGTAAAAATAAAAAACATATGTTCTATATTCTCTTCCCTCTGTTTGCCGCTTTAGCTACGCTAATTTTTAACTTATGGTCTGCTTTCTTCTTCCTTAAGTTCATCTCCGAACACAGATGTCTTTTCTTTTTTTTTTTTACAAATAACATCTACTTCTATTTTTCTGTTTCTTATCTTTGTGAACAAGGAAATAATCACAAACAAAAAAAATGAAAAAATAAAAATAGAACTAGAAAAACTTTTACATAGTTTTTTTTTCTTTGTACAAGTGAAAATATGATTGATGGAGTTGTCGGTTTTGACCATTACAATGCTAGCATTTTAACCTTTTTCTATATATGTATGTATGTAAGCGTAGCTATCGTTGATAGTTAAGTAAAGCAAATCGTTTTGTTTGATTGATACGCGCTAACCTTTTGTGCAGCTGCTACTATATGTATTTGTGCACGCGTAAGATAGACAACAGACCAGATACCTGTCCATTCATTTTTTTTCTCTTCCTCTTGTAACATCTGCATCAATCGCATGTTTATTCATTAAGGATTTTGCAGCTGCACAGAAACAGATGACGCTCTGAAGAAGAGACGATGATGATGATGATGTTCAAAGAGGGAAAAAAATTGCATTTTGTCACATGGTGCGACTAATCCTAAAACAAATACATCTATATATATATACACGTCGCGTCATATAATTGAAAATATATTTGTTTGAAGTGAAATGAACACCCTATATAGATTCGGCGTCGGTTGGCTAGCTTAAAAGAAAAATGATTTCTATTAGTGCATTATATTCATTGTTGTTCTTTGTGTATTAAGTGTTTGGCGTAAGACAAACGTATGCGCTTATACTGGAAATGGTCTTATATAGAAAGAAGAATAATAATGACAGATTAGATAGTATAGTGTGTATGTTTCTTTTCTTCTTCAATATATGCATATCTACAGACAAATAGATAGATAGATAGACGGACGAGCTCTATTGAATGTTGTTGTAACTTGAGTAGGATAGAAGATGATCGACAGTCATTAACTTATCTATGTTCTTTATTTTTCTATTGTAGATTATTATATCATGACATCGACTACTTTTACAAATACAGATGATAATTATTATGAATTAGGACAAGAATTTAAAAAACTAGCTTCACTTGTACCAACAATACCAAAAGATGAATGTCTTTCAGAACTTGAATTTATTGAAATTGTTATTGCTTATATTCGACAATTACAACAACTTCTTACACATGATCAATGGAGTGAATGTTTAAATAAATTGGCATCATCTATGAAGAATTCTCTTCTATCATCAACATCTTCACCTCCCTCTTCTCCACATGCAACAAATCTATTGAATCAATTAATACATGAATCTCCACGAACACAAACAAATGAAAATTCATCGATAATACGCCGAAGTCCATTGGCAACCATTAATCTAGACAATACTCGATTATCGTGAACAGTATCTTCTATATATATATTTGTGTGTGTGTGTATCTGTATGTCTTTATTTTGTTGTTCATTCATTCTCTTATTGCTTATCAATTGATCTATATACTCTATCTTCATTTCTACTCAAAAGAAAGAAAAATCGAAACACAAAATATTTATTTTCTTATGTATATTTATTTTTATAACTAGTCACATCGATCAAATATGGCATTTCTTTAACTCAAGGCATTATCATGAATATTTCTACAATTCGATTGATTAGACTTATTATAAAAACTTGTTATTTTTGTTGACAAGAATTAGATAGAAAATAAAATTGTATTTAGACATTGTATGTCACAGAATGACATTTTAATTTGGGATATTCTTTCATAATAATTCATGTTAGCTAAATCAATAAGTGAAAAGTTGTTTTTTTTTTTTTTGAAAGAATATCTGTTGAATACCGTATATCAACATGAATACAAATAATATATCAGAAGATCTCTCAACGAGAGAAAATACAATTGGAAAAAATTTGTTAGCGCAACCCCTTTTGTAGCTGAAATGCGGAAATCACATGTGTACTTTTATCTCATTATACTAATACAAAATATGCGAAGTGAAAAATCTTTTGAAGATTATAGTTATTTTTCAGGATAATCGATCGTCAGAGAAGCGATCCGTTTCATTTATTTCTACATCTCAAACAGAAATTTTTTCTACTTTTTACTGACGCTTTAGCTTTTGTTTGTCTTGTTGTAATTCGCTGATCATTTTTCATTTTCGTTTTTCGTCATTTAATATTACTATTATTCTAACCATTGGTTAACTGGTAAATAAGCTTGTTCGACATATCTATTATATCTATAACAGATCTCAACGTACTATGATGTATCTCGATAAACTCAAAAACATTGATATTAATTATATTCTAAAATTATAACTTGATCATATGATGACTCTAGTAAATCAATGCATCACTATCTATCATCGTTGACATCTTGATTATAAATTTTTATTTGTGTAAAAGTCAGAAACTGAACTATGTAGAACATTTATAAACGTATTGCAGACATCCAAATTTCAACGAAGTCTTGGGGATGTTTAAGAATTCTCTAGAATAGTCTAAGTCTTGTTGTTAATGCTGTTCAGTAGTCTTTTTTCATCGCTGAGAAAAACTTCTGACATCGGTTGCCCTGGGTAGCTAGGGTCTATAATGGGAAAGGAATCCGCAAAACTTTGATTTAGAACTTACGCTCACCATTTTCTAGACTTTAAAAATCTTTTAATTAGAAACTGAAAATTAAAGTTTCAATTTAATATATCATGCTTATTGATTATCATATTCGATTGACTTTGACATGTGTAATTATACATAGCTTAAAGTAAATATTATGACTTGTACGTAGTGACTCATACAAATTGTATTATAGATAAACGAAGTTGTATTAGAAATTGTTGATTTTCGATGTTGAAAAACAGATTTGTTAGAATGACTAATATCATTCAGCTTTTGTTTAAAAAATTATTTATTTGAATTTTTCGTTGTATATTTTTAATATTTGATTTTATTTACATAATCTTATTGTTATTACATAAGGTTTTCAATTGATTTTAACAAGACTGATATGAAATTTTGATATTATCTTATAAAAGTTTTGTTTCTTCTGGCGTCTTAAAACCAATGACGACGTGCGTGTAAAAGATTACAACATGTCTGAAAAAACAAACTTACATATTTTATTGTTTTTTCTTCCAACAAATTTTTTCTTTTTTGTGTCATGTTGATTCTTCTGTATGAATAAACAAAAGCACATTACTATGTAAAAGCATGTATGACAAAGTTTATACAAACTGAATAATTTCTATTGTAGTAAAATATTTCATTTTTAGACAATAAAATCTTATCGAATTCGATTTATTTTTAATACTAGTCTTAAATCATTTGCAAATATTCATTCGAATATGCTTAGAGAAAACATTACAAACTGGTAATAAACATTTTTAATTCTAAAACTACTGTCCTTCTTTTACTGCCTAGTTGGATTATATTTTATGGACCTGAATAAAGAAAAAGACAGAAACATATTCTTAATCAATTTCATCATAAAAACAAGAATGAACTTTTTTTTTGTCGATATTCTCTTACATAGATAATGTATTGTCTTCGGTAAGGATATTCTATCATGAACAACATCAAAAAGATTACTGATAAAGTTTGTATTTTTGATGTTTCTTGAAAGCTTCACAGATCTAATTAGAAGCAAAGAGAACTTATAATCAGTCATGGAAATTTTCGTTTTTCTGATTTTAATACCATAATAGAAGGTTTGTCCTGTTTTATTTCTATTCGTTCTGTTTCGAGAGTGTCACTTCCTCTTTATTTTTTGATCGATTATCATTGCATGCATCATATTTTTTCTTTTCTTAACAATGGATGTAAAAAATTTCGTAATGTTATTGAAATATTTTTTGTAGAAAAAGAAGCAAAAATCTTATGACATCATAGATTGTGATGGCAGGATCAATTATTTTTCTAAAATAGATGAAATATTTTGTTTGCTTTTTGAGATTGTAATAAACTATTTAATCTGAAACAAAAACCTGCTAGACGTAAATAAGTTTTCAGTCATTATTTATATTAATCAAGTTACAAATGGCTGAAGCAATACGAGAAACAATTCTCTGTCAATATTGTAATACTCTGATTAACTTTCAAGATTGGACTGAACATTCAGTGAGTAATTGACATTATTTTTTTCTAGTCTATATTTCAGTTTTTATTCAACATATTGTAGATAAAATGTCTCGATATTAAAAAAAATCGCAGAAGAAATCGAAGAAAGTAAAGAAATAACTTACAATTTTGTTCATTGTTGCTTCTTTTTAGAAAATCTGTGAATAATGAATCAGATAATGAAAGAATTCCATGTGAATTCTGTTATGATCAAATTAGTGTAGATGATTGGAATTCTCATTCTGTAAAATAAAAAACGATATCTAATATACAATCTAATTATTTCAACCACATTATAGGAACAATGTACTAATGCACATAAATGTCGAGTCGAAAATTTAAAAAAGTACTATGTCAATCTTTTTTAAATACATGGTTTACGTTTCATATTTAGTGGTATTGACAATGAACCAATTAATATTTTAGTTCCATGTGAATATTGCAATAAGCAAGTCAATGCACATGATCTTGAATGGCATACAGTATTTTAAAAAAAATCTTTTCTTGTTAATATAAATATGTATTTATTTCTATCATATTTCAGAGACAATGTGCTGATAAATATCAGCGTCAAATTCAAAAATTACAGAAGTAAAATATTTTCACAATTATATTAGTTATGTTTCATTTTTATATGATTGTAGCAATGAAACAACGCTCGTTCCATGTGAATACTGCAATGCTCAAGTTAACGCACTAGAATGGGAATTGCATACGGTAAAACAGATTAAGGCGCTTTGCTTTTTTTCTATCTAGCTGAGATTCATCAAAGGTTAACGATCAATCAGTATGAATGTTTGGTATAGTTTCTTTCTTCAACTGATATGATTAATTGCTAATTTTTTATCATTAGTTTTGCAAAGTAGTGTGAGAAAATGAATGAGATAGGATAATTGTGAAATCTAGAATGAAAATACAAGTCTTTGAATAATATAGTTCGATCAGATATTAAGAATAACATCAGTTAATATTTCAAATATTAAACTATACAGAGTCTTATTTAGTTGTTAGCACATACTAATGTATAGGAAAAAACAGCTCGTTTGGCTGATGAACAACTGATGATATCTTCTCATTTAAATTAAGCGATGAGTGATACATATGTACTTAACGACTTAATGTTAGATTATCGTCTATTGTCTGAGAACTTTAGAATGATGAACAATATATGACTAGCCTTATAGATAAGTTTTATATTTTATGTAATTTATTGTTTTCAAAATTAAAGATATGTTTGTTTTTACTTTCCTATAGAACGGATGTATTGAAGCTGAAAGACAGATGATTGGAGATTTGACTAAGTAAAAAAATAATTCATGTATTTCATTTGTTTTTTTGACTATTAATTATACCTTTAATTTGAAGATATACAGCAATTGACCCATCTGATGAACAGATTCCATGCGAATATTGTAATAAATGTTATTCTATACACAAAATCGAATCACATCAGGTCTGTATTTTCTTTATCAATTTATTAAGTCTATGCCTAACTAGAATATCATTTTTTTTTGTCTTTTTTAAGAAAAGATGTCGACATAAGCAATCCTTGTCAGCTTTTCAACCGGTAAATAAACTGTAACTTTTTGTTTAACTTTGCAATAAATATAGACGAATTCTTTTGGTTGTTTTTCTTTTTTTTTAAACACAAATAGAATGCTCTACATGATGAAGTATTTGGCACCATCTATTCTTTACCAAAACATTGGGATCTTTCAGCATTAAATAATCTTACTCGTTATATTCTTGATCCTGAAACAGAAGAATACAAATTCGTTGCAAATAATTTTCACCAAACATTACCATTGAATCAAATTGTTCAAATTGAACGAATTCAAAATCGGCGTAAGTGGAGATGACTTATCTATCTATGAAATCTTTCATCTTTTTCATGTTCTTTCCCTAATATCAAAACTAGAAGTAGATAGCTCTTACTCTAAATTTCTTGAACGTTTTAGAATTTATATTGAATAATCATTGACGAATGAAATTCTATATATTATCTATTAAAATAATATAATAAAATACATAGAAAATGTATAAAAGGACTAGTCATTAAATTTAGATGTATTCGTTTATTCGTACATACTTTTTTAACAAAATCTTTCTTTCCTTTGTATGGATTTTACAGGTTGGTATCGTCAATATGATGCTCATAAAGAGGATTTTATTGAGCGATATGGTAAAAGTACAGAAAGATGGTTATTTCATGGTGAGTTACATATACTCTTTATTGTTTCTATTTTCCAACTCTAAATAATATTAGGATGTCGTGAATCAAGATCAGCTGAAGCAATTATTCGTGATTGTTTCAATCGCAGTCATGCTGTTAATTGTGGTAAATGATTTGCCTATTCACAACAAAAATTAAACTATAAACAAATGTATTTTTTTTTCGACTCATGCATATAGCTGTTGGTCAAGGAATCTACTTTGCGACACAGGCTATGATCAGTCATGGTTATACTCAGCCTGATGCAAATAGACTCAGACATATGTTCATGGGTGAGAATATTATGCTTCATTCAATTTTTATATATTTGTTTCTCTCTGAAAAAACTAATTAATTGTAAAATGTAATGTTTAAAAAAAAATGTATTTTTATAAGTTGAAGATCTTATTTGATTGAACTCTTTTACAATTGAGAAACGAATGAAATAAAATCTAAATTTGTATTTTGTAATTTCTAATAATTTATACATAAAAAATTGATTAGATTATTTTTCTTTCTTTTTTTCAGCTCGTGTGTTAGTCGGAAGAACAACTGTAGGAAGTTCATCCACGCGTATTTGCCCTCCAGGTTTTGATACGACAGGTGGAGGAAATGTTTTTGTAACTTATCATGATGCTCAAGCTTATGGAGAATATTTAATAGTCTACAAATGATACAAGTTTTATATTTATTTTTTATGTTCTTTTTTTTGTAACTGAAGTTTTTTAATACTTTTTGATAAGGATATTATTCTCATGGTTTGTTTATTCTTATATCTATATATATATATATATGTATTATCTTCAATTTACTGCATTAATATGATGGAATAGATGTTATCAAAATAGGAATTTTTCTATATATTGATCATAAATCAAAATTCTCATTGTTTGAATGATACATTCATTGTTAAATCATATATCTATTTGACTAAACATAATAGAAGTGTGTTATTTCTTATTTCAACTCATTATGTGCAGAAATCATTGAAAACTATGAATGAAAAATTCAATCGTTCATATTTATTGAAAACAAAAAAAATTAGCTGTATTAAAAATTAACTGACAATATAATTTCACTGAACTGAATTGTCAGAAAAATTTTCGAAGTTGAATGATTATTTCCATTGAAATATAGTTGAACATCAACATTATAATAAAAATCAAATCACTGATATATTTATTTAACTTAAATATGTCTATGATTTTCCTATGATTTCATGCTATTTTTGTTTAGTATTGCAATAATATAATTTCCTTCCTTCCGATTAAGTTATTTGTGTTTCGTCAACATGCATTGCTGCTATGCCAGCTATAAATATTGATCAGAACAGAATGTATATATATAAATGACATAAGGAAAAAAAAAGAAGAACCGACTGTGTACAGTAGATGGCACTACTATTCAATTCGATTTTAAATGTAATCGATATTTGACATAAAACAGTATAAAAATATATATATGAAAATATTTTAAAGAAATATTTTTCATTAAAAATTTGAAAGTAAGATATTCAATTTTGAAAATAAACAAAAAAAGCAATAAAAATACTCAATTAATAAACAAATAAACAAAATTATTGAACATTAGTCAGCATAGACTTTTCTTCAGTTACGGGAACATTTACAATTTTTTTTCTTTTCTTCGGTTAACTGTCAAGATCGACAGCTAGTCCTTTGGGAAGATTATGACCTTGTAATTGTTCTTATTTAGATTAGAATTACAATTAAACATGGGTGCTACATATGGACAACGACAACGAGTATAAGATAAAAAATCTTTTTTTTTTTTTTACTGGAAATTGTTTTCTATATTTTCATAGAGTAAACTTCGTTTTCTCATGGGTATTAATGGTCTATTATTAGCTCTTGCTATCTTTATTATCATTTCTATGTCTATTTATTGGGGCTTCTTCGAAGAATGGACTATTTGGACAGATTATACCATGCCTTGGGTAGAATTCATTTAAAAAATAATAATCTCTCTCTATATATATATAATTAAATCTATTTTAGGTTGAATTTAATTTTTTCATCTATTACTGGGATCGTTTGACTATCACTCGTGTTTATCTTTCATTTATTTACCTATATGGCTTTGTTCTTTTCACGAGTAAGTTATATATATATTTCATAAGAATTTGTTTATGAATTGATTCTTTTTTTTTTTTTTTTTTCTTTTAGTTATTGCATTGCAAATTCATGGTTATCGTCGACGAAATATTTTCCTTATGGAATATGTTCCTTATTCATTATTTTGTTTAGCTATAGTAACAGTTATTGGTGGTTTATGTTGGTTTGCTGTAACAATGATAAATATGAATGCTGGATTTTTAACAAAAGAAACATTTTTACTTGAACGACTTCGTTTTCGAGGCAATGCTTTTAAAGAATTAAAATATCGTGAACAATCATTTAATTTGGTTACATCGGGTCTTGTACCACCACGTGTTTTTATAGTAACTGCTTTTGTTAATCAGTAAGAAAGATTTTATATGTCTTTTAAAATAAATTTAAAAAAAAAACCAAATTTTCTTTGTTTTTTAGACGTCAAAGAGATTTTCATTGTTGTGGTTGGAATTCGTATCTTGATTATGCAGCTTCACATAAAACAGATTTACCAGATACATGTTGTCATAAAGTTCGTTATTTCTTTTGATTTGTTTTTTCTTTATTTAATTTATTTCTTAATTGATTAGCATCAAACAGTTTATAGTTGTGGTAAAAATATGTTAATTAATCCTGATCCAAAAATTGTTAATACACGTGGATGTGGTCCATTAATGAAATATTGGTATCGCCGTGGTTTTTGGGAAAATGTATTTATGGGTTTATTTGGACTATTTATTGGTATTTATATGATATTTGTATTTCAACATAATCATAATGAATATATTCAATTACGTGATGAAGCTGATGATAAAAAACGTATTTTACATTCACAATCTATGGCATCATTTCGTTCAATGAATAGTAATGTTGTAAAACATCCAATAAAAAATAGTTTAATACGTTATCCATATACTGGTATGCGTGGTTCACCTTCAAATGGTACAACTACTGGTTATGATTCAGATAATAATAGTACAAGTGTACTTTATCAAGCACGTGGAACATTTAATCCAAATCCTTAATACGAAAAAGAATTTTTTTTTTCTGTATATACATTTAATGTAGTAGTTTTCGCCAGATATTTCACTTCAATTGTTTGTTTGTTTTTTTTTTGTATATGCATTTAATGTAATCTTTTCTGTCAGATATTTTATCTTAATTCGTTGCTTTTTTTTTTTGTTATTTATATATATAAAATTAATGACATTCCATTTATTTGTATGTTGTTTTGTTTTTTATTTCTAGATGAAATGTTAACTCAACATGAATATGATAATATTTCATCTCAAAAAAGTTGTTATAGTAGTGATACAAATGCAACAGTATCAGTTATACAAAGATATTTAACAACAACAACAACAACAACAGCAACATCTGTGGTTTCATCATCATCACGTATACAAAATTCCATACCAGAAATTAAAGTTAAACCATGTACAAAAGAATTTCTTGGAAAACATTTTAATGATGTAAGAATTTAAGATAATATTTGATTTTTCAAGAAAAAAAAAAAAAGATTTATTTTACAATTAAAAGGCATATCCAATGTTTAAAAATCCTCGTGGTCAATGTTTAATTATAAATGTATATAATATAAATGGAGCTATACGTCGTTGGTCGGATTTAGATGTAAAATTATTAAGTGATCTTTTTCGTCAATTATATTTTAATGTAATTGTTTATTCTGATTTTAATGGAGATGATCTTGGAGCAGAGGTTTGATTAAATTTATTTATTTGTATTTTTAATATTTTTAATATTTAATTTATAGAATTTTATGAAAATTCTTAAACAATTTTCTCAATCAAAAGAACATGTCAATGCACAATGTTGTATTATTTGTTTGATGAGTCATGGAGAAGAAGGTTCATTAACAGTACAAGATGGAAAAAAAGTTTGTTATTGACATAGTCTTTATAGATATAAATGAATTGTGTATATATATATATATATATATTTTCTTATAGATTTACCATGATCATGTATTTGATCTATTTAGTAATGTAAATTGTCCAAATTTAGCCGGAAAACCTAAACTTTTTTTTATTCAATGTTGTCGAGATGGTAAATAGATTTTATTTTAATAGAAATAGAATACAGGAAATATGTTTCATGAAGCACGATCTAAAAGAAGTGTTGAAGTATCGAAGTAGAAATTTTGACCCCCCACAGGCATGACAGACATCTTATCAATGAATTATCACGAACTTGGCAGAACTCTTAGAGGCAGCTCATCATAGACCGTGACCAATGCTTTAGAAACACTTCTTCTCTCTCCATCTTGCATCATAGATTGATATACGTCGTTAATATACAATGACAGATCATATATCAAAAACGTCTGGTTATAATAGATGAACTACTTCCTTATTGCATTTCTGGAGAATTAAGTAAATGGATGGTGTAGAAATGTGTCCCAAGATAGATAGAATAAAACAATCTCTATGTAATTTATCAACAGCAGCTACATCGCGTTTCATATTTTAATCCCACAGGGATTGCATTAACAATTTTTTTTTCTTGTAGATCCTGGAGTGGGTCCAGTTGATGATGCTGGTTGTCATGTTCAAATACCATCAAATACATCATTTGATGATCTAATTTTCGATGATGATGATGAATGTGATAGTATGCAACGACATCATTTACCTACAATGACCGATATGCTCATAGCATTTCCTTCACAAAAAGGTATCGTTGTTTTTTTTTTTTATTTAATTTTTTATTTATGAAAATGATAAATTTAAATATAGGTTTTACTGCTTTTCGAAAACCACATGTTGGTAGTTGGTATATGAATGCTCTTGTCGATATCTTAGCTCGACATGCTAAAGATACAGATCTTTGTTCAATGCTTAATATGGTTAATGGTTGTGTATCACGTGAAGTAACTAATAAAGGAAAAAAACAAACAGCAGAATATAAATCATCATTTACAAAAAAAGCATTTTATTTTTTTCCTGGTATAAATTTTCTTTTCTTTTGAAAAATTTCATTTTTATTTTATTTTATTAAGGTTTAACTGGAAATCCAATGGCACCAATTGATTATTGTAAGTTAATATTATTATTATTTTTGATCTTCTTTAGTTTTAGTTTTATTTTTATTTTTTATTAGCTATTCATAGTCGAAATGATGTAAATAATAGAAAAGAAACATTAATAACAATGAATAATAATATTGATTATCAACATGATAGTTCATCAATAAATTTTGATATAATAAAAAAATTTTTTATTGAAAATCTTCTTGATAAATGGAAAAGTCTTGCACGAGAACTTGATGTTAATGAAAATGAAATTGATCTTATTTCACGTGAAAATATATCATTAAAAGAAAAATTTTCATTGGTAAGTTAGATAATAATAAATGTTTTTTTTTTCAGTTAAAAAAACTACATATTTTTTTTGTTTTAGATTTTGGATATTGTTGCTAAAATACGTCATAATAATTTACAACAAATACTCATTGATATGCTTAAAAGTTTGCAACAATGTCGACGAATGTCATATTATTGTATAAAAATATTCTTTTTTTTTTTCATATCTATTAAGTCATTGTTTATATTGTTTTATTTTTAGATCAACTTCAACAAATGATTGCACCATATTATCCAGATTTACAATAGATGTATTCATCCGTCCATAATTGTTCATTTTGTACATGATTGTGAAATTTGTTTTTATAGTTCGTTCTTTTTTTTTCTTTTTCTTGTTTTTTATCTATTGTCATGCTATTATATAACTGTTGTGTTATTGAGATAGTCGCGTATAATAATAAGAAAAAAAATGAGGAAAGAACGAAAAAAAAAAATGACGCGTTCAATAAATCATATTTCCTCTTCTCGCCTATTGTGAGTACTATATGGGTCTAAATGCGACTGCCTACATACAATAAATTGCTTCTTCTTTTGTCATAATAGATTCTTTTTTTTTTCTTTCAGATATTTCTTGATCGACAAAACAAAACGTGAACAATGGAAGACGAAAGACCAGCCAAAGGACCGAAAATCGTACCGGTATGGAAATCTTATTTTTTGTTAGCTCATAATAATTTATGAAACTTTTTTTTTTTTTATTTAGGTCAAAAACAAAATGCCGGCACCGTAAGTTAATTTGATTGTCTTGTTTCGAATGAGAAAAAAAAATAATACGTTTTTTTTTCTTAATTGAAAATTAGGATTCAAATAACAGCTGAACAATTATTACGTGAAGCAAAAGAAAAACAACTTGAATATGTTGCACCACCACCAAGACAAAAAATTAGTGATCCAGAAGAATTAGCTGAATATCGAATGAAAAAACGAAAAGAAATGGAAGATGCTATAAGAAAAAATCGTCTAAAAATGGTTAATTGGGTTAAATATGCTCATTGGGAAGAATCACAACAAGAAATTCAACGTAAGAAAAATTTTTATATATTAATTTAATATAAAACAAAAATCATATTTTCTTATTGTAGGTGCTCGAAGTATTTGGGAACGTGCACTTGATGTTGATTATCGTAATATAGCCATTTGGCTAAAGTATGCCGAAATGGAAATGCGTAAATAATTACCTTTGATTTTCTTCGGTAACTAAATTTATTGTTTCTTTAGGCTACAAACAGATCAATCATGCACGTAATATTTGGGATCGAGCTATTGCTATATTACCACGAGCTAATCAATTTTGGTATAAATATACATATATGGAAGAAATGCTTTCAAATATAGCTGGTTGTCGACAAATATTTGAACGTTGGATGGAATGGCAACCAGATGAACAAGCATGGAATACATATATTAAATTTGAACTACGTTATAATGAATTAGAACGTGCACGAATGATATATGAACGTTTTGTTGTAACACATCCTGAACCTAGAAATTGGATACGTTATGCTAAATTTGAAGAACAAAATAATTATATTAAATCAGCACGACGTATTTATGAACGTGCTATTGAATTTTTTGGTGAAGAACATTTAAGTGAACGTTTATTATTAGAATTTGCAAAATTTGAAGAACATCAAAAAGAACATGATCGTTGTCGAATGGTATATAAATATGCACTTGAACATTTACCTAAAAGTTCATGTGAAGATATATTTAAAGCATATACAATACATGAAAAAAAATATGGTGATCGTACTGGTATTGAAGATGTTATTACAAGTAAAAGAAAATTTCAATACGAAGAAGTATAAAAAATTATTTAAAGAGAAACTTTGTTTTTTTTCTTATTTTTTTTTTTTTTTTGTTTCATTTTAGGAATTGAAAGAAAATTCAATGGATTATGATACATGGTTTGATTATTTACGTTTACTTGAAAGTGAAGGAGATGTTGCTGTTATTCGAGAAGCTTATGAAAAAGCTATTGCTCAAATACCACCTATTCAAGTATGCTAAACTTTTCTGAAATAGAACTCGAGATAAGCAGAGTTAAAATAATAAACAAAATATTCCATTTTAGCTGTTTGAAATATTAATGAAATCAAATTTTTACCTATTTGAATTTAAACTAATTCAATAACTATGTTAGATAGATCTATTTATTCTTTGTAAAGACTACTTTCTCTTGAGTTGAAATTCTTAGAAATAGATGATCGATATACATAATATTAAAAAAAACAACATTGCTTCATTAGTATGATTTCACTCGATCAATCATCATCGTCTGCTTTATATATATATATCGGGTGGCCCAAAAGTAAGGAAAAATAATGGGTATCTAATAATAACTGATGAAAAACTGTTAATGATATTTTTCATACTTTTTATTGATGTAGAGAACTAAAACTTTCAGAAATAAAAGATGTTAATTAGATATGTACGTAATAAAAATTTCAGCTCTTTACGTCAATAAAAAGTATGAAAAATATCATTAACAGTTTTTCATCAGTTATTATAGGATACCAATTATTTTTCCTTACTTTTGGGCCACCCGGTATATGTATCTGTGTATTAATTCCAGTTCTAACTTTTATTACTAATAATCTTTTTTTCAAAGAAATTCGTATAAATCTTTCATTCGAACAAAGAAACTAATATTTCTCTTTTTCATTTTTCCTTCATCAATAATAATACTTTTAGTCAATGTAAAAAATAAGACTCATCAACTGAATTAAATAGATGAAAAGTACAATAGACTATCGTCTGAGATATTCTTTTTTTTTTTGTCTATTTCAAATATTCATTTTTAATTCTTCTATGTACTAATTGTTCATTGAATTGATTAGGAAAAACGATATTGGCGTCGTTATATATATATATGGATAAATTATGCTTTATTTGAAGAACTTGAAGCTGAAAATATTGAACTTACACGTGGAGTTTATAAAAATTGTTTAAATTTAATTCCACATAAAAAATTTACATTTGCAAAAATTTGGCTTTATTATGCACAATTTGAAATTCGACAAAAAGAATTAGCATCTGTTCGAAAAATTCTTGTAAATACTTTAAAATATAAATTTGTTTTTTATTTTTCATTAAATTATTTTTCTTTTTTAGGGTACAGCCATTGGTATGTGTCCAAAAGATAAACTTTTTCGTGGTTATATTGATTTGGAAATTCAATTAAGAGAATTTGATAATTGTCGAAGATTATATGAAAAATTTCTTGAATTTGGTCCAGATAATTGTACAACTTGGATTAAAGTAAGAAAGAAAATGTTTATTTTTTTTATTTCATTGATATATCCTTGTTATCAATAGTTTGCTGAATTGGAAAGTATTCTTGGTGATACTGATCGTGCACGTGCTATTTATGAACTTGCTATTGAACAGCCAAGACTTGATATGCCTGAATTATTATGGAAAGCATTTATTGATTTTGAAATTGAACAACAAGAATATGATCATGCAAGAAAATTATATAGTAAATTACTCAAAAAGACTCAACATGTTAAAGTAAGAAAAAAAGATTTTTTTTTTTTTAAGTTAAAATAAAATCTGCAATTATTATTATTATTATTTTGTTTTTGTTTGTTTAATAAAAGGTTTGGCTTAGTTTAGCACAATTTGAAGCAGTAATTGATGAATCAGATTCTATTGATCGTGCACGAGATGTATTTGAACAAGCATATAAAACACTTCGAACAGCAAATGATAAAGAAGAACGGTTAATGCTTGTTGAAAATTGGCTGGATTTTGAAGTAAAGAAAAAAAAACCCAAATATATAAAAAAATATTTTATTATAATTTTTCTTTATTCTCATTTATAGAAAGAAAGAGGTACAAAAGAAAGTGTAGCTCGTGTTGAGAAATGTCTACCAAAACGTATAAAACAACGTCGAAAAATTCTTAGTGAAGATGGAGTAAGTTTATCTATATTATATTTCATTTTATTTTCTTATAATTGAAAATAAATTTTTTTATTTAGACTGATTCAGGTAAATGGGAAGAATATATGCAGCTTGTTTTTCCTGATGATGAAGCTGTTCAACCTCATTTGAAATTATTATCAATGGCTAAACGATGGAAAAAAGGACAAGACGATGTTTCAACATCAACGAATGTGAATACAGATAATGATATGTCAACAGCAAAAACAACAACAGAAACAGAAGACGATAATATTCCTCTACCGGAATCGCGTATTGATGATGAAGAAATGAACGATGAATCTTAATATGTCTTGTTTTTTTTTCTTTGTATAATTAAATACATATATGATCTATTTTGTTTTTTCATATCGGATGAAATAGAGCCCTGTGAAGACAGCAAATTTCTCATTATATTATAGATTATTTATTTGTATCGAATGCCGAAACAACGTCTACAAACAACGACATTAAATTCAGCTTCTGGTAATACTTCAAAGCGTCATTGTGATACTACATCTAAACCTAATGCATCATCGGATAATGAAGATGTAATTCCAATTCCAATACAAATTTTTCTATGGCGACAGAGCAAGTAAGTTGATGTTTTTTTTTGTTCAAGAAAGAAAAAAAAATTCTTTCTCATTTGTAGTCCATTTATCAAACGAAAGTTTGGTAATCTAACCGATGCATCTGCAATTGTAAGTTAAATACATATATACATATTTCAATTTAGAAAATCTATTTTTCTATGATATTCGATTAGAGTTTTGATCGAGTTCTTGTTCAAAACATCGTACATGGTTTATCACCTAGTCTTAGCGATGCTATTGCAAGTATTCCAAGATGGTTATTAATCAAAGTGGTTAGTTTATTTATTTTTTGAAAAACAAAATAAATAAATAAATAAATAAACTATTTTTTCAGGCATTTCCACATGTAATGCATGCATGCTCAGCTGCAATTGAACATAGTCTTCATTCAATACAACAACAACCAACAACTAGTGGTCATCCATCATTACTTGTTTCATCATCTATATCTATTTCACCATCAGCTTCATCACAACTTCAAATTCCAACTAGTCTTCAATTACCTATTAATACTCCTAATATACCGGCACCTCTTGGTCCATTAACTTCCACAACTCTTTCACCAACAGCATCTGTTGAACATCAATCTAGTCAGCCACCATTATTTCGTCTCTCATCAACAGCACATAGTACAAGTAGTTATTCATCATTAACAAATAAATTAAGTCCAAGTGAAATTCGTCTTTTTCATACATTACATTATCTTATATTAGATTCTCAAAATCAAAATAATAATACATCTATAAATAGTGATCAACTTTTACCATTAAATACAATACAATTATTTATTTATTTATTTATTCCATATATTCATACATATTTACAAAGTAATGAAAAAGAATTTTTATCACATCCTGATCTTGCTCAAGGCATGCGTCTTATATGGCAACCATTACTTGAATATCGTCAACCAAATATACGTATGTTTAGTTCATTTGTTAAACCAATTATACCATCATATGCATCACCAAATGAAAATGGTGATTATATAACAACAATAAATGAATCACAACAACAACAACAAACATTTTATATAAATAATAATAAACGTAATCGTTTATCTGTTTTGATTGAATCACCTACACCAGTACCAACAACAAAAGCAATTCTTGAAGAATCTGAAGAAGAACAACAACAATCTCAACCTTCTTCACCACCACCGCTCCCACTTCCACCATCACAACCATCATCTCAAACATTAACGACAAATGAACATATTTCACAATTACCCAGATCATTGTCAGAAAAACAACCATTATCTGATTTAACAAATCAACCAACAATGACGGCACCTATTGTTAGTAGTGAAGGAAGTAGTATAAGTTTATTTCAACCAATAACAGCAAAAAAAGAGCAAAAATCAACATCATCCGTTCTTGTTGATTCTGATACAGCTACAACAAATAATTCAATAACTGATCTTAGTGCTTATGGAACATCAAATGGTACAAAATCACGAGCACCACTCGTACATATGAGTTCAATTTGTTCAATATCTGATTCAAGTCGTTTAACAACATCACCACAAAGTCCAGGTAAGAGAAAGAAAATTTTGAAACAAGAAATCTTTTTGTTTTTTTAATTCTTATCTTTAATATCCCTATTGACTTTTTAAGCTGGTGATAAATTTAATATCTTACCCGGTGGTACAGGTTCATCATCATCATCAGCATCAACACCATCTGTTCTATTACCTTTAAATTGTTCTCAATGTCAACAACCTGTATTTGCTCCTAATCATCCACAAAATATTCCATATATTTGTTCAAGTTGTACACCTATAAAACCAACACCTACGCCAAGAGTATCTGATCTTCCATTAAAGCTGGAAGTTCAAAAAGATTTAATATCAATAACACGACGTCAAAGTATTATAACACCAAAACCTCGAACATCTCAACGTTCATCTGAATTACTTCTACTTGCAACTTATTTTGATATTGGAATATTACGTACATTATTTAGTCCATCATGGTTAACAGATGGTTATTTATGGTGTTTAGAATATTTACATAAACGTATTATTGATATATCTGATGAAATTTTATCGGATGCATTAATGAATGGTACATTACCAATAAATATTCTTCGTTTTAAAAGTCTTTCGATTCCACAATTAAATCTTAGTAATGAACAAGATTATTATGAATATTTAAAAAATATTTATTTTAATGAACAAGTTACAAATGATATTATTGAACAACAATGTATGATGGCTGGTACAGGTGATATGGCAACATCAACATCAACTAAACAACCAGCTACATTATTAAATGTACCATTTAAATATTTTGCTGGAAAAAGTCCATATAATGGAAAACATAGTCAAAAATATGATAATTTCTATAAGAAAATAAGGTAAGAATACATCACAATGATGATCTTTTCTTTGTTTTGACTTTTTTTTTTTAACATAATTTTTTTTTAATATGAAAATAAAAGAGAAAAACAATTATTGGCTCGAGGGTAATATGAAAAAAAATAAAATAAAATAAAAATCATGCTTTTCTCATTTTTTGCAAATACATTTATAACAAATTGCAAAGAGATGAGAAATATTAATTGGTTTCTTTTTCTATTCTTGTGTTTTTATGTGTGAATGTCCGCACAATTAATTTTTCTTTTTTGTTTTTCTCTCGAATTATCTATTTTTCTTTATTTTAGTAAAATTCGTTATATTGATGAAGAAGGTATTGAACATTTGGATTTGGCTAATGTTGATCGTCGAGATAATATACAAACATTATCATCAAAAACTAATCGTCTTCATCTAACTGATCCAGGTTTATTATTACTTAAAACAACAACAATAAATGTTTCTGATCGTTCTCTATTACCTGCAACAACAACAGTTGGTACAGCTCGACAATCAGTTGATAGTTTATTAATTACTTCAAATCCTAGTGCAACAAAAATTACTACTACTATACCAACAACTAATTTAAATCTAATGAAAACTTATAGTGTTAGTGATTCAGAAATAAATTATAAATTTTTAGAAGAAATTGAAGAAGCACAAGGTTCAAGTGCATATATTAATCGAAGTGGTACAATTAATTTTGGTGTTGTTCTAGCTGGAATACATGCTGTTATATGTAAAGAACATCATTTAAAAGTTTGTGAATTAGTAATGAATATTCTCGATGTTTTACTTGGTTTGGCTGTTATATCATCATCAGAAGATGATCTACATAAAAAACAATTATTAACAGTTGGAAATACTGGACCAACAAGTGATGATAGAGGAGATGAACAAATAGAAGAATGGTTAAAACAAATCGATGCAAAGGAAGAAGAAAAATTTCAATTAGCTGTGGATATTACACTTAGGTAAAGATTAAATATTTTAAGTTGTATCATATGTTCAGCAAATAGGAAAGATAAACAATCATATAAAATTTTCATTAATTCTCGAGCTTTTAATTTGAAAGGTTTTATTTCTATCAAGATATTAGTATTTAAATTCTATATTATTGAGTCTAATTGACTTGCGAAGAAATACAAAAAAAAAATCAAGTAAAATATAAATGAAGATGATTATTTTTAACTATTCAATTGTATTTAGATTTATATTTAGTAGCAGAAGTAGAGATTGTAGGAAGCGGCTGACCTCACCTCTTCGCCTAGGATTGGATTGATCTATCATTAACATTGGAAAAGTATATCTCCTTTTCAACTTTGGACAGAGACTCAGCATCTTCCAAAAATGTTTATCTGACTTCGCCACTAATAGCAATGAAACTGTCTTGTTTCAAGTCGCGGTGCATGCCGAAAAGTTTTTGTAGACTTTCTTTTTATCTAACGAAGATCTGTTCATAACAAAAATATAAAGTTCAATAGCTTTCTACAGAGTTGAAGAATTTATTCACTAGATCATTCGAATAGGAGGCCTAGTGGTTTTTTTTCGTGAAAATCAATAGATGAGGAACATAGAATAATTTTGTTTATATTCTATTTAGAATAATCAAACGATTAGGATGTCCACATTGTCAACCACGTGGTCGTAGTTTTACAGCTGATCAATTACGTGGTAAAGTACGTTTATCATTAAATAAACTTCGTATACTTAATCAACATCGATTTGAAAAGTATGTATATCATTCATTCTTTTTCTTTTTTGTCTTTCTCAATAAAAATTTCTATTCTATTAGATATTTTCTTAATTTAACACTTAATGGTGATCTTGTTCATATACTTGATATATTTCATGCATTATGTGGTTATTGTTCAGAATCCAATGTTGGTCTTGCTCATTATTCACCTTATAGTAAGACTTTAGCTTTTTTTTTTATTTTGTTAAATGAAACTTCTATTCTTTTTTTTGTCTTCATAGTTCCAACAAAAGTTGATGCACATTTACGACAAACATATTCAAATAATTTTGGTAATACACATCTTGGTGTTGGACCAAAAGGTATTGATGGATTTATATTAAATATTGTATTTAAACCATTCGTTACACGTCTTATAATGATGAAAGAATATTTATTGGGTTCAGAAAATGTTGCTTTATACGGTGAATGTCGAGCATTTTTAACATGTATTAAAGAAAATCATGGTGGAATATTTCGTTTGGTAGTTTTTTCATCATTACTTGATCCAGAAAAAAGACTTAAAACATTAAAACAACAAGAAATAAATATAAAACCAAAAACTAAAATATCACATACTTTCATTCGACAAGATCCTGTTAATAGTAATGGAAAAGGAGTAAATATATAAAATAGATCAATTTTTAATGTATTATAAAATATATTTTTATTTTCTTTGAATAAAAGGTTTTTCTTAATCGTGATCTATCAGATGATGCTGATCTTGATCGTCATGGAAGTACTAGTCAACCATTAACAACATACGGAACTGATGATGCACCAGTAACAAATACTACATCATCAACGTTTAGTATTAAATTAAAAAGTAAGAAAAAATAAAGAAATGTTTTTTTTTTTCTTTGTTTTTAATTTATTATATTTTATAAAATTAAAGGTGCCCGTGCACGAACTGGATCATTAATGGGTGGTGATGATCATAGTTTATATACACATCAAGAAGAAAGTTTATATGTTGATTTATCACTTATTCGTTTCGGTTTATTACGTTTAAATTTTCTGATGGAATCATGTCCACCAGGTTCATTACCTGATCCACAATTTTTAAATAGTCTTCTTATTTTGGTTTGTTTTTTTTTTTACTATAATTCTTTGTTCTTTTCTTTTCTTTTTAAAGATTGAACTTTTCTTTTTTTTTTTTTTTTTTTGTCTCGTAGGATTCACCAGTTATATCAAAAGCAGCATTTCTTGTTGAATGTGCTTATTTTGTTCGTCGTTGTTCATTAGGTCAATGGCCTGAATGGATGCGTATAAATATGACAACATTTCGTCCACATGAATCATTTGCTGTACGTGCAACTGGAAATATGAATGCAAGATTAAATAAATTATATCAAGCAGCTGCAGCAAGAATGTTCTATATATGGGGTGAAGTAAGTTGATTAAAAGATTTTTTTTTGAAAAAAAAATAAAAGAACAAACAAATTTATATGAATAAATTCCTATGAAAGGCTCTTTCATCACAACTTGAAACTATATTAAACAATGAACAACAACAACAGCAACAACAAACGACAACAGATCATACAAATGAAACAGGACTAGGATTAGAGGGAGGAGGAGCAGGAGGAGGAACAAATTTTTGGAATAGTGATGAAACATATGAAGATTATTATAATGAAGGTAGACAGGCATGGAGTTTAGTCTTGCATGTGTTATCGTGTTTGTCAGCTTCATGTTTATATATATATATATATTTTTGTATATTGATTTCTGTTTGAATATAATAATAAAATATTTCTTTTTCTTTTTCAGCAATTGTTAATCGTTCTGGTCATGATTGTCCATATTCATTACGTGTCATGGCTTGTTTACTTCTTTATGAAATTACATCATTTTTACGTGAAGTCTATGATACATTACCTAAACTTTCATCATTACCACAAACAGGAGTTAATATTCGACAACAACAACAGCAACAACGTACAAATAATCAAGCAACAAGTGCACCAACAACTCTCGTTGAAACATCTTCAACATTAACTGATAAACGTTCAACAGATCGTATGCGTATGGGTAGTGTTGTTTCTCAAATATCAAATAGAAGTTCAGCTTCAATATCAAGTGAACATCCAGCACGTATGTATTTTATTTAATTTTTAGTTTGATTTTTTTTTTCTTTCTTTTAATTTTGTTTTATAAATAAATTAGTTTCACCACAAGCATCATCAGCAACAATTCCACCTGTTTTAAGTACAATACCAGCAACAATAATTAATATAAATCCAACATTAGCTGGTGAACGACATATTAGTTTTGCTGTTAATAAAGAAAATGATTCAAATGAAAGTAATCATACAGCTGTTATGATAAATGATGATGATGGAGTTGTTGTTGTTGATGGAAATTCAACACCTGTAGTTAATGACAGACGAAGTTAGATAAAAATAAATATTTTATTTTGTTGTCTTTTTAATAGACATGTTTTTTTTTTTTTGTCTTTTTTAGTGTCTGTTGCAGCATATAAATCAGGCAGTGTTACTGGTAGTACTGGTAAATCAAAATTAATTCGACGAAGTAGTGTTAAATTAAGAAAACCATCATTAAGAATGAAAGATACAGGGAAAAGTAAGAATAAATTTTTATTGTTCGAAGTTATCATCAAGAACTCATATTCAAGTTCAGCTCTATTCAAAATATTCAACAGTAATGATCTTAGTTCGAATTTATGAATAGTCATAAAGATCTTATATATACATCAAGTTTCATCGTTTCATAAAAGAGTTCAAAATCATCCTTCAAAAGGCGTGCTGTAGAAAGATCGAAATGAAAAATATCGAAGATTTCACTTTATTGTTGGCATCATACTAACATAGATCATATACAAGTTAAGAGATATAAAAATGAACGAAATAGTAATATCATTTTGTCTGTTTAGCAACTATAAATGAGAAATTATCGAAATATTCTATTATATTTATAAGATCATCATAATATCGTTCACCAAGATTATCTATACGACGTTGAATAGCAATCATTTTGGCTTGTTTTGCTCTTGCATCAATAATAAACTATAGAGAGTTAGAATCAGTATTTATCAGCAACAATGTTTTTCAATATTTTTCTAGTTTTTGACATTTTCGACCTTTCTATAACTACGCTTTCAAAATACTTAGAAGAACTACGAATTGAACAATTTTCAAAATTAAAAATTAATTTCTTTCAATGATAGCGTTTCGCTGAATAATTCTGAAGGGTTACCAAGATTTATCGATTGATAGTATATAATGAACTTTTAACTATATCAAAAAAAAAAGAGTCATCGTTATGAACAGTTGTCCTTCTTCTCCAACTAGTCATCTATTTTAAGTGTCATCCTCACTTGTAACCTTTCGTCTAGTTTCTTTTATTCAATCATAATTTTTATTAATTAAGATAATCGTCGTTCATCTTATCGAACACGTCGTCGTAGTCATGCATCAAATATTTCATCGGAAACTGATGGTCATCAAAGTAATATAGGAAGTTCAGCTATGGAACCAACTGATGAATATTTAAATGGTAATGATGAAGATTTTGATCAAGGAAATTTTGATGATATAATTAATACTCGACCATTTCCATGGATAAAAGTTGTTATAAGAATATTAAATGATGTTAATTTAACATGTGAACATCAAATAAAATGTGTATCAAATTGTTATGATAAACAAACAACAAGTTGTAAAAATCTTATTCAAGCACTATTAAATATGTATCGATTATCATCATTAAATTTACCAAATATTGGTTCATCATTTTCTCGTTCATCATCATCAACACATAGATCAACTACACATTTAAAACGTAATGATACAACATCAAGTAAAAGTCAGCAAGATCCGAAAAAACGACGAGTAAGAAAATAAAAATTCTTTTTTTTTTCTTTTACTTTTTGATCGTATGATTTTGTTTTTTTTTTATCTAGCTTTCAACTTGTTTATTTGGTGAAAGTACTGGTCAAAATAATGATAATACTACAAAAGGTGTAAATACAAATAAAACAACAGATGGATTAACTTATGGTATGATATTTGAAAGTGCTGATCCACATTTTGATCCACATATTAATACACATTTTACTGCTATTACTGCTTATTTGGAAAAACAAGTTAGTTTAACGTTTATTAAATTTAAATTTTTGTGTTTTTGGAAAATTTTTACTTGGCATTTTTATTTTTTAGGTTGGAACATTAACACAAGTACCATTAATGATACTTTGTAAATCATCTGTTTTATTAGAAGATGAACATTATTCACAAATACTTCATCTATCATGGGAACTTTTATTGGATCGTAATGAAGAATTATCTGCTTGTGCTGGTAAAAAGAAAAATTTTACATTGAAATTTTTTTTTTTATTTTTAATTTAAAAAAAAAACAGAACAAACATTGTTTTATTTCATTTATATAGCAACAATTGTTATTCTAACAGCTGCTCGCGCAAATCATTTAGTTGATACATTATTTCATACAGAAATGGAAAATTCTTCAGCATTAATTCGTTATAATGCAATATTAAAATTTCAAACATTATGGCGTTTTCGTTATCAATTTTGGATTCGATTAGAAGAAGGTGCACATTCAATGATGAAGGTAAACTTAATAAACCAAAAAATAAAAATAAAAAACTAAAATGAATACTTTCAAAGTAACAAAAAAAAATATATATATATTTCTAATTAGATTCTTCCACCGAGTATTGAATTTGTTTTACCATCACCAGCACTTGGTATTTCTAATCTTCAAACAGTTGATCCACCATGGATGCCACATGCTAAAACACTTGTTCAACAAGTTGCATTAAATCAAGAAGAAGTCGTATGTTTAATTTTCATATAATCAAATAAAAACAAAAATTTATTTATCTATTTATTTGAAAATTTTCTTATATAGAGAGCTGTTGTTACAGCAAGTAAAACACGTAAAAAACATCAACAAGAATTAATACATTCAGCATTAATGGCTGAAGAAACAAGTAAACGAGTAGCACGAGAAAATTTTGCTATGTCAACTGTACCAATGTTACAATCAGCTTCATTTGAACCACTTTTACATCAACCAAGAGATGAAGAAGAAGAAGGTATGATATTATTATTATTTTTTTATCTTTTTGTTTTTCTTTGTTTATTATAAAATATAAATGAAAATGTTGTTGATTTTTTGTTTTCTAGGACATTCCGATGATGATCGATTTGTTGAAACAAGTATTCAAATACGTCAAGCACAAGGAACATTTCCTTCAGCATTTGGTGCAGCTGTTTATCTTCTTGTTGAAATGTTAGAAGATGAAGAAACACTTGAGAATGGAGCAACAGGTTTGTTAGAAAAAAAAATAAACACGAAATTGTATAATTGAAAATATTGAACTTGAATGAATTAATATAACTCATACAATTTATCGAATAATAAATATTTGGATAGATGAAAATATGTCAAACTCCTAGTTGGTTAATTGAAATTTTAGTTCGAGTATTTTTTTCTTCCTGATAAACGAATGAGATGTTTAACACAGAAGAAGAGAACTTCTCGAAATGAACAATATGTTCAAAAAAAAAAGTCTTACGAGAAAACCTTTTTCAAGTGATAAAAAGTTTTTTAAGATGAGACTTGTGTCATTAAGTAGAGTCTAGTAAGACTAGGCAAAATCTCTAATGATTCGTATCATTGTTATTTTCTTTTCGAGTTACGTTCAGTTTACCGAGTTTCTGGCTTAATACAGGATTTATCATAAAAAATTCAATGTCATCATTTTTGAACTGAAGTTTTGTCCCTAAAGAGTTTTTATGAACTCTATTATACATCGAAATCTCAGTTCAATTTATGCCTCATTTAGAGAACTAAAATCTCGAAATTCTTAAATCAGAAATGATTTAAACTACTGATATGTTTATTTTATTTTAGTATCTGAAGCAGCTCGAAAAGCTCTTTGGACATGTTTAGTTGATGAACCAACATTATTAATTCGTTTTTTCTTTGAAAAACTTTCACATAAAGAACGACGTGTAAGAAATTGTTTTTTTTTGTTTCTCTTGAATTTATAATTTCAATATTTTCTTCTCTTTTTATTTTTCATATTAGATAAAATCTCTTCAAAGTCTTCGTCGTCTTATGATATGTTTAACTGATATACCACCTCAATTTGCACATGCTGTATTTAATTATGTTCTTGGTTTATTAATGAGTATGGTACGTTCACCACTTGATGGTTCACAAGAATTAATTGTAGCTGGTCTTACATTATTATGGCAAATAATTCCTTATTTACATGGTCTTGTTTTAAAAGATTTAAAACAAATTTTACGTAAAGAACAAGCTGAAATGATGATATTAATAACTGGTAATATACCATCAACAAAAAAAGTTATTATACATGGTCCAGATTTATCACAAATTCCAACACAAGCAATTATACAAGAAGATACACAATTTAGTAATGTTTTACAAGAAGCATTAGATTTTTTTGGTATACCTGATTCAAAACGTGATCGATATTATTTAATTGATGTTAAAACTCAACAAATACATATTCCAGATACATATGTAAGAGATTTTTATTTTTTTCGTCGAAATATTTATCCACAATTATCATTAATACATATGGATACAAAACAATCACAAAAACAATTAGAACAAATGTCTATTTATTTAAAAACAACTGAATTATCAAAAGTTTTATTTGCTCGTTATTTAGTTGAAAATACACCATATAATCAAATACATAATTGTGTTACATTTTTTCATGATGAACTTATTAAAAGTCCATCATTTCCACGAAAACCATTAGAATCAGATTTTAATTTGTATACAAGAATATCTGATAAAGAATTATTTAATTTAGATATGTTACATAAATATAATTGGTAAGTTATAGAAAATGACAGATTTCAGATTATTCAATCCGACAATGATTGTCGAAATATGAGAATCAA